AAGCATCAGAGCACCTGTAAATTCAGAATGCTGGAGAGCAGGAGTGCAGGGTTAATACTGAGCACCGACTAGGATGTTAGTCAACACAGAGCAAACAGGCCTGACCAAAAACAACTTTACATTCCCACAACTCCCCTACAGTAACATTTTTACCATTTTTCTAATTAACATAGGAAAATATCTGTCAATTAAAGTGGACCAATTATGCTTTTCTTTAGTGTATATATGATATATATAATTAATGTATGTGCAAGCAAATCCTCTGAGGCCTCACACTGCTCTAAATTCTTCCTTTCAGACTGTTTTTCTTTCTACTTTTGGACTTTTGTCAGAGAGACTGGAAAACCCTAATATGGTCATCTCTGGAAAACTGCCCACTGTGAGCACACCAGCTCCAACTGCTATTTATATCTTTTGTCTGTAAGGGACAGCCAATCAGGAGAAAGCTGGCTTAAATGGATGGAGAAGGGAGCTAAAAGCGCTCGTTACACACAGAGGCACAGAACCAGATAAATAAGAATCGCTTTAAACTGTGAATCATGCAAAGCTACTTTAATTTTTTTTTTTTAATGTGGTGTTAGATTCTATTAAATCTATTATATCTTTAACTGTTTCAACCAAAACACTCCACCCATATTTCTGAGTTCCCTCCCAACACACCTCCTGCACACAGACGTCACAACATCAGGCAGAATAGAGGGACACACAGGAAAAAGGCAGAGATGCACATTTGTCAGGTACGGTTTTATAAGTGCAGTTATTCCAGTCCCAAAGAACTGCCTCAAACCAAACTCCATCCTTATGGACTCTAACAAAGGAGAACAACAGCTGCCTCGGAGGCTTCTGAGGTTGATTTTTACAACCTGTTTTAAAACGTAATCAAGAATCTACTGAAATCAGAGGCACTGCTCTCTGGATTCCTCTCCTCTGTTAGAGGTTTGTTATAAGATGAGAGCTTCAAAAGGTCAGTTATGTTTATCATGTCAGATTTACCTACATCCTGGAGAAACCATTCAAACATGGAATACAGAAGAAGAGCAATAAATATCAACAATCATGGTAGTTGGGATTTAAGTCCTCAAGTTAAAAAAAACATAAAAACACTTGAGCTTACAACTGCCAGAGGCTGGACTTCTTTTTCTCTGGAAGAGTTGGGTTCTCCTTTGAAGCCCTGAAAAAAAGAAAAAAAGAAAAAGAAAATTGTAACAATTTCTAACAAACTTCCTGTCTTAGCATATATTTTACTTCAGCTCTGTGTGCAGAAGAACATTTATATATGGACTCAGATGATCATGTTACCGGATCATCTCCGTCCATCTGACGGCCTCCTGCAGCTCCATGAGTCTCTCCTTGTACTGGTTCCTCTCCATCAGCACTCTGGCCATCTCCACTCTGGTGAAGCGCTTCCTCTGTGCTGTAGGCACATCACTCTGCAGGCAGGAGACCAA